GAGGATGAAATGAAAAAAAAGTGAAAACTAGGAAAGTAAGGATCTATACTAAAGGGACATTCAACCAAATGAGAAACTAAGACAAACAAGTAAATCAAAATGACAGGGAATACAAATCATATCTCAATAATAACCTTGAATGTTAATAATCTAAACTCATCAGTCAAAAGACATAGACTGGTAGATTGGATTAAAAAGCAAGACCCAACAATATGCTCTCTTCAAGAGACTCAGCTCATGGGCAAAGACATCCACAGGCTGAAGGTGAAAGGATGGGAAAAAACTTATCACACTTATGGATTGTGTAAACAAGCAGGGGTTTCCAATTTCATTTCAGATAAAGTAGACTTCAAACCAAAGTTAATCAGAAGAGAGAAAGAAGGACATTTCATACTTCTCAAGGGGAATATATATAAACAGGACATAACAATTATAAATATTTATGCCCCAAACAATGGAGCATCTATGTACATCAAACAAACCCTTCTCAATTTCAAGAGTCAAATAGACCACAGTACAATAATACTGGGTGACTTTAACACATCTCTCTCACTATTGGCCAGATCTTCCAAACAAAAACTAAATAAAGAAACTATAGAACTAAATAATACAATCAATAATTTAGACTTAACAGACATATATAGAATATTCCATCCATCAACGAGCAAATATACTTTCTGCTCAGTAGCACATGGCTCCTTCTCTAAAATAGACCATATCTTATGCCACACAGCAACTCTTAGTAAATACAAAACAATAGAGATAATACCCTGCATTATATCAGACCACAATGGAATAAAATTAGAAATCAATGATAAAATAAAAAATAGAAGCTACTGTAACAAATGGAGACTAAATAATACACAATTGAATGATCAATTGAATGAATTGAATAGATAGTAGCAGAAATCAAGGATGAAATAAAAAATTCTTAGAGGTAAATGAGAACACTGAAACAACAAACATAAAAATCTCTGGGACACAATGAAGGCAGTACTAGAGGACAGTTTATTGCATTGAGTGCATTTATTAAAACAATAAAGTCAACAAATAAACGATCTAATACTACATCTCAAAGCCCTAGAAAAAGAAGGACAAATCAACACTAAAAGCAGTAGAAGGCAGAAAATAATTAAAATCAGAGCTGAAATCAATGAAATCGAAACAAAAGAAATAATTGAAAAAATTGACAAAACAAAAAGTTGGTTCTTTGAAAAAATAAATAAAATAGATAAACCCCTGGCCATGCTAACAAAGAGAAAACTCAAATTAATAAAATACAAAATGAAGAAGGAAATATCATAATGGACATGTCTGAAATACAGAAGATAATTAGAAACTATTTTGAAAATTTATACTCTAATAAAATAGAAAATATTGAAGACATCGACAAATTTCTAGAGACATATGTCCTACCCAAATTGAATGAGGAGGTCATACATGATTTAAACAGATCAATTTCAAGCAATAAAATAGAAAACACCATCAAAAGTCTACCAACCAAGAAAAGCCCAAGACCAGAAGAATTCTCAGCCGAGTTCTACAAGACTTTCAAGGAAGAATTAACACCAAATACTTCTCAAAGTATTCGATGAAATAGAAAAGGAGGGAACCCTTCCAAACTCATTCTATGAAGCTAATATTACCCTGATACCAAAACCAGACTAAGACACATCAAGGAAAGAAAACTTCAGAACAATATTCCTGATGAACATAGATGCAAAAATTCTCAATAAAATTCTGGCAAATTGCATACAAAAACATATTAAAAATATATGCACCACAATCAAGTGGTTGCAGGGTTGTTTCAACATACAGAAATCAATAAATGTAATTCATCATATTAATAGGCTTAAAAATAAGAACCATATGATCATCTCAATAGATGCAGAAAAAGCATTTGACAAAACACAGCACACCTTCATGTTCAAAATACTAGAAAAACTAGGGATAGTAGAAACATACCTCAACATTGTAAAAGCTATATATGTTAAACCCAAGGCCAGCATCATTCTAAATGGAGAAAAATTGAAAGCATTTCTGCTAAAAACTGGAATAAGACTAGGATGTCCTCTTTCACCACTTCTATTATCCTTGAAACTCTAGCCAGAGCAGTTAGACAAAAGAAAGAAATTAAAGGGATACAAATAAGTAAAGAAGAACTCAAACTATCACTATTTGCTGATGACATGATTCTATACCAAAAAAATCCAAAAAATTCCACCAGAAAACTTCTAGAACTAATAAATGATTTCAGCAAAGTAGAAAGATATAAAATCAACATCCATCAATCAAATGCATTCCTATACATCAGTGATGAATCCACTAAAAGAGAAATTAGGAAAACTACTCCATTCACAATAGCCTCAAAACAACAACAACAACAACAACAAAAACAACCTGGGAATCAATCTAACAAAAGAGGTGAAAGACCTCTACAATGAAAACTACAGAACACCAAAGAAAGAAATTGAAGAAAACCTCAGAAGATGGAAAGATGTCCCATGCTCTTGGACAGGCAGAATTAACATTGTCAAAATGGCCATACTACCAAAAGCGTTATACAGATTTAATGCAATCCCTATTAAAATCCCAATGACATTCTTCATAGAAACAGAAAAAGCAATCATGAAATTTATTTGGAAAAATAAAAGACCCGGAATAGCTAAAGCAATCCTTAGCAAGAAAAGAGAAGCAGGAGGCATCACAATACCACAACTTAAACTATACTACAGAGCTATAGTAACAAAAATGGCATGATATTGGCAACAAAATAGACTTGTAGACCAATGGTATAGACTAGAGGACAGAGACAAACCCACATAAATATGGTTCTCTCATACTAGACAAGGGTACCAAAAACATTCATTGGAAAAAAGCCTCTTCAACAAATGGTGCTGGTAAAACTGGAAATCCATATGAAAGCAAAATAAAATTAAACCTATATCTCTCACCCTGCACAAAAATCAACTCAAATTGGATCATAGACTTAAGCACTAGAACAGTGGCCCTGTGCCTAACAGAAGAACAAATAGGTCCAAATCTTCACCATGTAGGCCTAGGATCTGACTTCCTTAACAAGACTCCTATAGTGCAAAAAGTAAAGTCAAGAATAAATGAGATGGATTAAAATTAAAAAGCTTCTTCTCAGCAAAGAAAACAATTAATATCATGAAGAGAGAGCCTACAGATTGGGAGAAAATCTTTACCACATGCACCTCTGATAAAGCATTAATCTCTAGGACATATAAAGAACTAAAAAACTTAACACCCAAAAAACAAATAACCAATCAATAAATGAGCTAAGGAACTGAACAGACATTTCACAAAAGAAGAAATACAACTTGCTGAGAGCCATAGCCAATTAGGAATGACGCATGGCAATTTCCTTGTCAGCCTACCCAATGTTGCTTAGAGGGAGGACTCTCCATTGTGGAAATGGGCTTGCCTTGGACCCAGGTCATTTGCAGTGACATTGCATGAATGTTTGAGAAAGGTGACCTTGCTCAAGGACCAAGGTGGATCCGGGTTTAGGGTGGATCTGGGTTTAGGGTGGATCCTGCTGGGAATAGGGCGTATCCTGCTGCCTCAGGCACCTGCTCCTTGAGTTCCTGTTGAGTTCTCGCGGGGTTCTGAGAGTATTTGGGATGCAGAGCCCGGTGGAAGTGGATTTTCCCAGAACGTGCGTGTAGAGTGCCGGTGAGAGTTTGGGAATAAAGAATTGCTGTTTGAGTCTACAAGGCTGTGAGTGGCTCGTGATTTTGTGCCCAGCCAGACTGCGGCAACAACTGATCAACAAATATATGAAAAAGTGTTCAACATCTCTGGCAATTAGAGAAATGCAAATCAAAACCACTCTAAGATTTCATTTCACTCCCTTCAGAATGGCCATCATCAAGAATATAGGCAACAATAAATGTTGGTGAGGATGTGGTGAAAAAGGTACACTCATACATTGCTCAATTCACAATAGCTAGACTATGGAACTAACCTAGTGTTCCTCAATAGATGAATGGATAAAGAAAATGTGGTATATATACTAAATGGACTATTACTCAGCTTTAAAGAAGAGTGAAATTATGGCATTTTCCAGTAAATTGTTGGAGTTGGAGAATATGATGCTAAGCTAAATAAGCCAATCCAACAAAACCAAAGGCCAAATGTTTTCTCTAATATGCTGATGCTAATTCACAATAAGGTGGGGGGCACTAGAGAAGAATAGCGTTACCTTAGATTAGGTAGAGGGAAGTGATGGGAGGGGAGGGGATGTGGGGATAGGAAACATAGTAAAATGAAACACACATTATGTAACTACATGACCAATATGATTCTGCAACATGTACACTCAGAAAGATGAGAAATTATATCCCATCTATGTATGATATATCAAAGTGCATAAATGTATCCTATTGTCATGTATAATTAAAACAAATAAAAAATTTTAAAAAACAAAGTCTCTTCTAGAAATTAGAGAAAAAGAAGAGATTTATTGAGTTAGAAGAAAATGCTGAGAAAATCACCTAGAATATAGCATTAATGTCATTTGTGGGTTTTTTTTTTTGTGATAGTAATAAAGTTATTTGTTGAAAGCCTTGAAAAAAAATCAATAAACAGGATGTCCAGTTAAATTTGAGATTCAAATTAACAATGAATAAGCACATCCCTAACATTGTATGGGACATATACTTTAAACAGATTCAATGCAGTTCCCATCAATATTCCAGTGATGCTCTTCACAGAAATAGAAAAAACAATCTTGAAACTCATTTGTAAAACTAAGAGACCCAGAGATTAATCAAGATGGCTGCCCCCATCAAGAGGACCGTGGTGTGCCTAGGGGAAAGGGACAGAAGCATGGTCTGAGATGGTCTAGCATTTGATCATGTGGAAATTTCTGAGACTGGGGAGACTGATGATGGGTAGTGGGGCTCATGGTGGATAGAGGAAGCCAGAGTTCTTTACCAGACTAACCATAGCCCTTCCCTGTCCTCTGGGCCAAAATGGGTAATACATTGGGCCTGGCACTGATGGGGATTTTGCCTGCTGTAGCCCCTGCCAAGAGGAACCTCTACATCACCCTGGGAGTTTTGATGTGCTGCACCAGCTATGCAAAGATAGAGGGAATGAAGCTCGTTGTCAACAAGGTTCTGAGCAGCCATTTCCAGGTGGCTCACACTGTGCACATGAGTGCCCTGGGCTTGCCTGGCTATCACCTCCATGCAGCCAATGCAGGGGTTTGGCAGCTCAGCCCCACAGAGGTGTTCCACACTGTGGTAGGGGATATGGACAGCAGTGAAAGTCTCAACGCCCAGGTCCTACTTCTGTTGGCAGAGTGGCTCTGAACTCAGACTGCCTTCCAGACACAACAGATCAAGTTCCTGAGATGGCAGTTTGACAGCAAGTATCGGAGGAGATGACTGTACAGCCACTCTGATCCTAGGAAATCCTGACCTGATTGGGGCATCGGTGACCATGTTTGCTCACTTCCTGCAGAGCCTCACTCATCAACTGGTACTGGGAGGAGAGCTGGTTTATCATGGGCGGCCAGGCGAGGAGGGGGCCATCTTGACTCCAGCTGGGAAGTATTTGGCTGTACATTGGGTAGCTACATTGAATGTGGGATCTGGCAGGGCTCATCAAGCTATTACCATAGGGCAAATGAACAGGTTCAAGTTGGAGTGGAGTTTGAGGCAAACACAAGGCTACAAGACACAACCTTCTCCTTTGGTTACCACCTGACTCTGCCGCAGGCCAATATGGTATTTAGAGGCTTGGTGGATAGTAACTGGTGTGTGGGTGCCATACTGGAGAAGAGATGCCCATGCTGCCCATCACCCTCGCCCTTGGAGCCTTCCTTAATCACTGGCACTGTTGTAGGGACAAACAAGGCAAGGCACCGAAGATAGCAGAAACAGTTTTATTTGGCTGCAGCCAGGTTCAGAGGGCACAGCTTTTGCTGTAATCAATCAATCCCCTGAACCCCGAGTTCAGGGAGTTTCAGAGTTTTATACCCAGTGGGTAAGGGGAGGAGCTCAGAAGTTCCCAGTCTGCAGAAGTTCACATAAAAGCAGCTTTTCTTTCACTATTCTGGGCAAGTTAACTCTTCAAGGACAACACCTGAGAAGGGGAGAGCTTCTTCTCCCCTTTCTTTCCTTCCCCTGCCAACTGTTACCATGGAGCCCATTTGTAACTTATCTTAAAAATGTAGACATCTCTGTGAAGCCCCAGCTCAAGGCCAGAGACATTGTTTGCACATTTCTACAAAGTACTATACTGGATATGTTTGTGAAAAACTAGTAAGGGGGTGTCCAGCACCTGGAGTGCTGGTATCTTCCTGGCCAGTGGCCAAGCAGAACAGGGCAATAGAAAGTTTATCTACATCGGACTTTTTTGCAGACTCTTTTGCTGACAATCCTAAAATCAGCCATGGTGAAGAAGGCTTTTCTGTGGAGAAAGGGGGTGCCACTTCAGCACAACAGATTCCATGGTGGCTTCAGCATCACTGTGGCCTGAGGTTGTCCCAGAGCCAGCCCCCACAGCTGGAACCTCTGAATCAAGTACCCTAGGGACAGAGACTAGGTTCCTCTCCAGAGTCCACCTCGCTGGGTGACTTCTAGGTCCCAGAAGCAGTGTGGGGGACAGGACCTTACCTTTCTCAAAACTGACACTGCCACTGGGTCAGCTAATAAGGTTTGAGGCTCCCACTTCTGCACCAGCCCCCATATCATCTCCCCCTTGCCCTTGTCGCTCTGGACTAAGGGAGAAGGATTAATCAATATGTCTAGTTGAACTCCCCTCTTCACTTCCATCTTTGTTTTCAAGCCCTAGCTCCTTCCTCTCCAGAGCAGAAAAGTCTGCACGGAATTAGCTTCCCCATCCTGTTTTCCCATCCCAGAGTCTCCCAAGGCTGAGAAAGTAGGGCTGAAGGGCTAAATTTGGGGCATCAAAAAGTGGGACCTGCCTATTCCCAGAAGTTTTACCTCTTAGCCTTGAGGCTTCTTCTTCTTCATCTTCTATGTATCCAAAGGACAACCTTATCCCCATGGTCACCCCTGAGTACCCCAATGATTGCATGAAGAAGCATTTATTGCTTTAGACTTTCATTACAATCACTGAGCTCCCTTTCTCCTGGTCCTAACAATTTCCCCCTTTCCAGTCCAGTGTGCCCCAAGTGGGGTGGGGAAGGAAGCCAGTCTGGGCCTCAGCTGCAGATCTCCTGGAGAAGTGGCATCATGGCGATAGTCCCTGTATGTGCTGGATTTGGTACCAGTATGTGTCGTTAATGCTCCAGAGTTCAATCAACAGGAAAAGCAACTTTGCCTATAGAAACCCTTGAAGGAAGTAATGGGGTTACCAGGGAAGAGGAAGAAAATAAGACAGCTAGAAGTCTTATCCTGACCTCCTGAATTGACCCTCAGTGAAGCTAAGTCTGAACTTTAGAAAAAATCATGCTCTGATATGAAAATTTGTCAAATGTTCAAAAGTCCCCCAAAAGGGTGTCTATCTGATACTATCTTCTCTCATAATACCCAGTTTTTCCTGAACTCTGAGGGCCAAGTGTTAAGGAAGCCCCAGACTTGGCCAGAACTTCAACTGTGTTGTGTCTGAGGATTTGGCCTTCTATAACAAGTTCTAGAAGGTGGGTGTACAAAGTATCCTCTTTCTGGCAAACGGACTTATTGAGGAATGAGCAAGAGCAGAAGTGGCACATACCTCAGAGCCCAGCTAGATCATGAACTGTTGAACCAGGGATACAAAACTGTGAATGACCATTACTTCAAGGGAAATGAAAAATTCAAGGAATTGGCCAAGTCAAGAGGTGAGAAAGGGCCAAGGAACAAGAGTGAGTGAGACTCTTCATGGTCCACTTTAGTCTGGAGAAGTTGGAGTACTAAGGTGATGGATGTCATTAATCTCAGGAATGCTCTTATAAGAACCTGTGAGCTAGTACTTTACATCTCTACTAAATAAAAAAAATCTGGGGAAAAATAAGAGATCCAGAATAGTCAAAGCAATCCTTAGTGAGAAAAGCAAAGCAGAAGGTATCACAATACCAGACTTTAAATTATAGTACAGAGATAGTTAAAAAAAAAAAAAAAGAAAAAAAATCCAGCATGTTATTGGCGCCAAAATAAGCATAAAGACTATGGAATAGAATAGAAGAGACAGAGACAAACCCACATAAATACAGTATCATAATAGACAAGGGTGCCCAACATACGTTGGAGAAAAGATAGCCTTTTTAACAAATGCTGCTGAGAATACTGTAAATCCATATGTAGTAGAGTGAAACTTAACCTCTATTTTTCACCCTGCACAGAACTCAGCTCAAAGTTGATCAAGACCTAGGAATTAAACCAGAAACCCTGCACCTGCTAGAAGGAAATATCAACCCAACACTCTAATATATCAGTTCAGGAACTGACTTATTTAACAAGACTCCTAAAGTGCAAGAAATGAAATTAAAAATCAATAAATGGAATGGCATCAAATTAAAAAGCTTCTTCTCAGCAAAGGAAACAATTAATAACGTGAGAAGAGAGCCTACAGCTTGGGAGAAAATCTTTGTCACTTGCTCCTCAGATAAGGTATTAATACCCAGTATATACAAAGAACTCAAAAAATTTAACATGAAAAAAAACAAATAACCCAGTCAATAAATGGGCAAAGGAACTAAAGAGACATTTCTCAAAATAAGAAGTATGAATAATGGTCAACAAATATATTTTAAAAACTGCTCAACATCTCTAGCAATTAGAGAAACGCAAATTAAAACTACACTGAGATTTTATCTCATTCTTCAGAATGGCAATTATCAAGAATACAAGTAAAAATAAATGTTGGCAAGGATATGGGAAAAAGGTACACTAATATATTGTTGGTGGGAATGCAAATTGGTGCAATCACTCTGGAAAACAGAATGGAGATTCCTCAAAAAGCTAGGAATGAAACCACCATTTGACCCAGTTATCCCACTCATTGGTACATATCCAAAGGATTTAAAATCAACATACACAGTGATGCAGCCACATCAACATTTATAGAAGCACACTTCACAATAGCTAAGCCACGAAGCCAATATAACAGATGAATGGATAAAGAAAATGTGCTTTATATACACAATGGAGCCATAAAGAAGAATGATTTTATGGCATTTGCTAGTAAATGGAGGGAACTGGAAACTATTATTAAGTGAAATAAGCCAGTTCCCCAAAGTCAAAGGTCAAATGTTTTCTTTGATATGTGGAAGCTAATCCAAAATAAGGAGGGGGATGAAAAAAAAGATACTAGAAGAAAGATCAGAGGAAACAAAGCGGAATGAAGGAAAGGGAGGAGGAATAGGATAGGGAAAGACAGTGGAATGAATCTGACCTAATATTCCTGGGTACCTATATGAATATTCCACAGTGAATCTCACCATTATGTACATCCAGAAGACAGCATTTTTTTTAAAAAAAAACTATAAGTAAATAGCAGAAAGATAAGTAAAAAAGAGAGAAGGGAACAGGAGGTGGGAAGAAAGGAGGGAAAGGGGAATTACTGGGGACTGAATTAGAATAAAATATATTCCATGCTTTTATAATTATCTCAAAATGAATTCTATTGTCATGTATAACTAAAAGAAGCCAATAAAAATATTCATTGTTTATCTGAAAATCCAATTTTAACTGGGTGCCCTGTATTTTTTATTTGGCAACCACAGATGGGAAAAAAGTAGAGAAGACAACTAGAATACAGTCACAAGAGTTTGTGGTCATTGCAGATGAAGAGATGGCAAAGATTCCACCCCTATTTTGGAAGTAGGCTCTTGGAGATGGATTGTTGTGGTGGGTGAGTGAAAGAGTCTGAGGTCAAGGGCGACTGAGACTCTGTGGTGAGCCATTGGCTAGATAGAGGTGCCAGGATAGCCAATGTCACAGAATGAGAATACAGTTAGTTTTGACATTCCAGTCTGCTATTCTTCCCTTGTAGTCACACACCCATGTAGCTATATTTGCTACAACAGTTACCTGTTTATTGATTGGTTTCAATATAATCTGCTATTAAAACTGAGACAGAAGGAACAAGTCTTCTGTACTGCCAACAACAACAATAACAAAAAAATAGCATGCATATCTCTCAATTCAAGCTCTGCTTTGCCTAACATAGCATTGCATGTGACTACGAGAAATACTAAAAACATCTAGGATCAGTAGACAATGTAAATTAAATTAGTCCACAAGAGGGAGGAACTCTGTACCATGATCTGGCCTTCTGATGGTATGGACAACTCCCTTAACTCCATTTCCTCCTCTTTCTCTTCCTCCCTCTTCCTTTCTTCCTTTTCACTGCTAGGGATTGAACCAAGGGTCTCATTCATGCTAGGCAGGTGCTCTACCAATGAGCTTTACCCTCTGTCCCCCTTATCTTTTTGATTATGTAAAATATAATTAATGTAATATATCCTATCACATAGCTTTTGCAAATAAAGTGTGGATTACAAATATGAAAAATACTTTAGTAGCATTAAGGAACTGTTGTGAACTAGAGGTCTCCCCCGAAAATTCACATCCCCACTGTGATGCCCAATGTGATATTATGTAGAGATAGGGAGTTGGGGAGGTAGTTAGGGTTAGACTAGGTCATGAGGTAGGGCTCTCATGATGGAATTAGTGGCCTTATAAGAGGAGAAAGGAATCCCAATGTACAACATCTCCCACATTAACACACACAAGGGAAAGATTATGTGAATACTAAGAAGGTGACCATTTGCAAGTCAGCAGCACAGGCCTCACCAGCAACCAAATGGGTAAGAACCTTGATTTTGGACTTCTAGTTGAGAAGAACTATGAGAAAAATAACTGTAAGAAAACAAATTTTTCCTGTTTAAGTCATGTTGTCTCAAGTCATTTTTTTACTCCACAAGCTGACTAATATTGATACTATCAATTTTACAACAATAATTAGGTGTAAACCAGCAAGAACTTTACACACATACACACAAAAAAAATCTTGCTATTTTTGGTCTGCCAGTGAACTTGCTGAATCTGTAAGCCAGGCAACCTCTAGAGCATGGTATTAAATCTTGGAGTAAATTACATTGTTTTATTCCCTTGCCTTCTTCTTTTATACCTCCCAAACACACACATTAAGGGCAACCTTGAAAAAAGAGATGTCACAAAAGGTGTGAGTGTGTGAGAAAAGGGAAGGGAGCTTGGTTGCTAGGAAACCAGGGAACCAGTCTAGCTAAACAGTAGGTGCTTAGGAGCTGTGTGGATTGTGTGGATATGTGTATGTGAGCACCTGGGGCCTTTCTCTCATAACACCAACTAGAAAGCTGCCTCATCCAGCTCTTCAGTTGGAAACCTGGCTCTGACATCAGATATAACATGATGTTGATTAACGTGTAGACTAGTAAGGTTTTCCATTGCTAGAAAGAGAAAAACCCAACTCTAAAAAAGAGAATTTGTTATATAACTGGAAAGTCTAGGGGTGGATATTGCTTTGGATCCAGTGACTTGAATGATGTCATT